GGCTTCGCGCCTTGACGGGCTGTTCCTTCGAGCCTGGGCTTACCTCAGAAGGGCTCTCAGGCCGGAGCATCCCCCAGTCCATCGTGCCGGCACTGTGGAGCGGTTACCTGGGGGAGTTCCATGTGAAGAGAATGCCTAGGCTATCATAAGCAAGGAAATGCTAATTAAAGGGGGTTTTTTTTCTAACTTTATTTGTGCTGGCTCTTCACATCTCTTGTAATAGAAGCACCCAGCACATTGATGTGCGCCACAGATGGGTTTTTCCCCGTTTTGCTGTACTGCTGGTATCACAGGGCTCCTCAGCGCAGCCCTGAATGCAGAAGGCAAGGCTCTTGTTTAAACTAGGCCTCCAATGTGATTTAAGACTTCTTTGTGGGTTTTTTTTCTTCAGTGCAGTGACAAAGCACTGGCAGTCCAAGTAGCTGATGGAGGAAGAACAATACTGGCACTGTAGTGTGAATTGTGCCAGCTTTTTCTGTGATCAGTTTAAACTAGCTTAAGCTGTTCTGTTCTAGAAAGTACCGATCCCAAGAGGTCAGCCTCTCGGGCCAGCACAAGTCGTCATGTTGCTGCTGCCCAGCAAACCAGGAAAAAAGCGTGAAGGAATTCAGCCTAGTCCGTGTCCCTGTCTGCTTTGCCGCACAGAAATTTGTGCCCGGGTGGTAGAGGGGTGGTGAGACAGGAATTGCCCATCAGAGAAGAGGCAAGGCTTGTGTTCAGTGAGAGTATTAGTAAATGTTAGTTCAAGTGTTGTGAAGTTGCCTTTAAATGTGAATATTAGCTGCAGGATTGCCGCTGAATTACTGCGGGGAATATAGCTGTGTTGTCCTTCCTGCTGCGCAGCAAGGTTACAAAGCAGTAGTCCTTAAAATTTCCTGTTGTGGGAAGGTATCTTTGCATTTTAAGAATTGACTTCCAACATATCTTTAGAGTGAAGAGTAGAGATACATGGAGGAAGAAGATAACATTTCTAAGTGTTTTGAGCATATGTTTCTATTTATATGTGTGCTTTCTTTAAACTGGGTTATAAAGTCACATGGCAAGTCCACAGCACAACCAGGTATAATATTCAGGTCTCCCAGCTGCTGGTCCTGCAGCTTACCCACAGTATTTTCATGTTTAGAAATCTTAGTCTCACAGAGTACAGAAGGGGTTAGCAGTCACAGTACTTTTCTAATAGTTTCCTCTTTTTTTTGTGTTTCTCTTCCTCCTCAGAGTTTTCTGTCACAAACACTTTCCCCCACGCATCGAGGTCTCAGTGGAGCCCTGGTGAAACAACATATAATTCGAGATCCAGTCAGGCTTTGGAATCTCTTAGGTGAGTCCCAAAGAGCAACTGTACATGTGGAGGAGTGGAAAAAGGTCTTATTTAGTAAGGGTGTTGACTTTTCCTTCACTGCCTGCTTTCTGAAACTGAAATAAAGCCGTTCTGCCCTTGGCTTCGGGAGCTGTGCACCATTTGCAGGGGTTCTGGGTTCTCGTTTGGGATGAACAGTGGCACCTTTCCACAAGGAGTTCAGTGTGATTAAGTAAGCACTCGAGTCATTAGACCTAAAAGGTAATTTAAATCTGCAGACTTTAAAGTAGAGAATCTTTCTGTGCCTCCTTAGCAAAGCTTAAGACAAAAACATCATTCACCTTTCTCAGAAATCACATCTTGTGACCTTGCTGAAAGCCTTGCCTTGGAACAAGTTAAAAGTGTGTTTTAGAAAAATGTTACCTGAATTCTTAAAGCAAAAGCAGAGGAATGTAAACCAACGGCAATTATTTTTCTCGCTGCCTTCTTCAAATTGGGAAGACAAGTTTGCTGATGCCTTTGAGATTTGAACAAAACTGGTTATGGCTGTTCTGGCCAGCATGGGCCTGGTGAGCTTGGGCTGCTTTACCTTTGAGAGGTTTGGGGGTTTTTAGGTTAAAATAAAAATATATGCATAATCTTTCAAATGGCAGTGAATCCTCTAGTAGAACTAGTAGGGGACAAGCAGTCCAGTTGCTGGGCTTACTCCTCTTTCCAGAGCCTTTGTGAAAGACCATAGGATGTGGAAGCTCCTGTCCTTGAGTCAGTTTTCCTTGTGAACTTTCTGCATTTTCCTGGTGAAAAAGTCTTCACTTGCTGTTTTGTAGCAGCAACTGTGATTCTTGCTGTTTGTAGCATTACTGTCTTGTCTTTTATTAAAGTATTCTAATAGCATTTACTGAGAAACCTGCACATACATTTCCTTTCATAAGCATTTACAGTTCCTAGTGTGAGGCTGTTCTTAACTGACCATACCAGTGTTGACTGTGGTTTTATGCCTTGGGAAATGTGTACATGTTTCAACATTGAAGAAATTTCTCCAAATTATTTTCTTTGCCACATTAAAATGATTTCTGAACAAAGCTATTATTTTGATTGGGTTCTCAAAAAATATATATTATATAAGGAAACCAAAGGAGTCTGTCCCTCCCATTATTCCCTCCGGCGAGGCTGTCCCATTCCCTTGGCACACGAGCGAAGCTGTGCGCTTGCATGGATGTGGGGCTTGGCTTTCTTTGCATTTGGAGCTCACGTGTATTTCTGCCATCCTCAGTCCCCCTCTCTGTCTTCTGAGGTCTTCTGGTAGTAACTACTTAACTCTCCTTGCCTGCAGGTAGCACTTACTATTTTACTACTTCAAGCTCTCAAGGGAGTAACCAGAAGAATGGAGGATTCAAAAAGAAATCTCCACAGGAGGAGGAGGGTATGTATGGTTTAAAATGATACTTAATGAAACAGGTTTTGTGTGTGAGGGGTAAGGGCGGACAGTGTGGCTGCTTCTGTCTCTGGGTACCGTAAACCTGTAACTTACCACCTCTGTGAGTCTAGGGCTGAGAATGAGTTTGAAGGGGTATTTCTGGCTTAGATGATGGAATAATAAGGCTTAAGACAGATCACGAAACTGATTCTCTTTCCATGCCACTTTGCGTTCTGTGCAAATAACTTCACTGATGTTTTCCTTAGTTTTGCTGCTTTGCAGAGGAAAACAGCAGTGTTCACTGAGTTTTGGTTTGGAGGTTTTGTTGTAGAGCATTTTGACTTCATGAACTTATGTTACCTAAGTTCAGTTCTTTAAGCTGGATTCTGTTTTTTTCTTTCGTTTCATTTACCTTCACTGTGGATGTCTGTCTATTTCTAGTGATTTACAGAGCTCAAAGTTAAAAATAGATTCCTTGAAGGGTTCTTAGCTATGTTATTAATGGCACTTGCTCAGATTTTTTTTATTTTCTTTTAAATCAGTCTTCCCAGATACTGTTCTTTGCATGCCTTGTACTGCCTAAGCCCCAGGCATCCTGCTGGGCAGGGCTTTTTGAAAATTAGTTTTATCTCACTAAATGTGTTCTGGAACCTAGGGGATCATGTTGGGAAGTTGAAGAGTGCCCTCTCTGTACCTTGAGCTTAAGGTGGTAAGGAATTTAATGACACAAATGGGGGGGGGGGGCAGGGAAATAACTTCTGTGTACTAGACAAAAACTTTGTGTAACTTCTTCTGACAGGCAATGTTCTGATCCTTGTAGGAGGCACTGCTATCTTCTACCAGTAGGTTTTCACCAAACATTTTTTTTCAAATACAAGTGGATTTGTGGGTGTCCCTTCATGTCTTGATATCGTTGTCAACTTTCTGCTATTTGTAGATTGACAACAGCTGCATTCCATTTAAAAAGTGTAATTTGACTCTTCCACTTCTGTAAAGGAAATTCTTTGCTCATTTGTGGGTATGTGCTCTTTCCCTCCAGCCTCCCAAGAGCTAAAGTGGATGCAGAGATTTTCTGGGCTCTGTTTAAGGCATGTTTTCAGACTCTGTGGTGTAGATTTTTAGCTGTGAAGTCCTGTACCTGTGGGCCTGGTGGGGCAGTTTACGAAAGATGTCAGAAGTGGCTGAGGTGAAGGTCTTATCCTTCTGTCTTGGCAGTAAAGCTTGCAAAAGCGTAACAAAGACCTGATTATTTTCTTCATTTTATGACATGAGTTGATGCTTGCAGGGGCTCATGATGTCTTGAGTGAGTGTGTTTGTTTCCTGGACCTTTGAGTAAGGGATAAACCTGCGGCTGGAGGGCTCCAGACCTTTGTACTGCAAGTTGGAAGGCACTTAGCATCACATTTAAGTCACACCTTGTAATACAATTTTATAAATTATATGATAAACCTTTACCTAGGTATCATCAAATAATGTAATAGCTTGGCTTTTCCTTTGTTGTGCTTAAACACAATGGTAGAATCCTCTTGGATTAACTACCTTTTGAAATAAAAGCAGTCAGCTGCTGCTGACTTTTAGCCTGACTCGGGTCATTGCAGTCTCTTTAAGGCAAGAGCAGTGGCTTTGCCAGTTTGATCCGTTTAACTGGGGTGAAGTCTTCAATGGGATGCAAGTGCAGGTATCACGGAGCCCTCGTTAAGGAAGTCAGAGCTTAGAGGTTTGCAAGACTGCACAGCGCCTTGTAGAAGTATTGTAGCCGTTAAAATTAGTAAACGGTAACATGCTGTGTTTGGTGGCCTCTCTTCTCCTGTGATTAATGGATAGCTTGACTTTGGGAGGTGGAATGCTACCCCATGTTTCCAGGGGAATACTCGTCTCTGCAGTAATTATTAAAAAGGACTCTTCAAACTGTCACTGCAGCCCTTGCAAGATTTTAATCAGAGAGTTCAGATTTGGGGTTAATGGCAAATCATTGCTTCATGGAGGCTTTTTGAGACTAAAAAGCTGGAAGTATTCCCACAGCTGTTGCTTGCAAGTGTCACATCCAGTTACTGGTTCTCATTTACTGAATGTCGTGGGGTAGCTTATGGTGCAATATGAATGTTGTACCACAAAGATAGTCACACTTTACATAAGCTTAGAAATGGATTGGTTTTGTCCTTAATTAAATGCAGAGTTAGAGGAAAGCTTTGCGCTGCCTTCTAGCTTTCTAGAAATGGTGTTTTTTTCCTGAAATTACTCAGCCGTAGGTTAAAGGTCCTAGACAAGCGTAATTCCTAGAAACTGGATAAGCTTGTGTCGAGATACCTAATGGCCAGCTTTTACCCTGTGGTGATCTCTTTGTGATTGTATCCTCAGTTATGTGTGCTTTAGAACATACTATATGCATCCTCACTTTATCCGTAATTTAATACAGAAAAGTGCTTTATCAATACTTGACTCAGATCTCCAAGGAACTTGCCTAGCGATAGATGGACTTTCTTTCTGTCAGCACTCACTTTTCTAGAGTAGTTTTTCTCTGTAGAACTTTTTTGTTTAGAACTTGCTTAATTTTTCAGGATATTGCCCGGACTAAGGCCTCTATTGTACTATATTTTAATTTTCTTCAATAAGACTACAGTGGATGTCATCTCGCAGCTTTGTGATGAATTGCTTTGTTCTCATAAAGCTGGATCTAGCAGATAACACAGAAGTGAGGAGATGGCATCGAAGAACAAAGTGGATGGGCTGGACGCAACGTCTGAGCTTGTCACTGTCTTTTGAAATTATGACCTTATCTGAAAAGCTGCATTGTTTCTATTTAGGAACAAGCCTTTCCTGTTAAATGTGGAGCAGAGCTAGGAAACGAGTGAAAAATGATGCTGCGTATCTGAAGGACAGAGTACTTTTTTTAGCATCTGACTGGGTCATATGTTTGTCCCTTGGTTTTGTTGCAGTGTGTGTAGGGTCTAATTGGTGGCTAGTGATAAATGCTAGTGTCAGAACATTTGTTATGAATTTGCAAATAAATTGAATCTGGGCTGCAGCAGGCAGATGCACTAGCAGTCCAGTGGTGCAGAATTAATTCATTTCTCGGTGTAGACTAGTATTTATGTATGCCATGTTGCTGTTGATGTTAAATTGTATATCAAGAACAAGTGCTAAATTATGTATCGAGAACACCTGCATATGACTGGAAAGAGGAGGAGATATTTGTTGTCATCTTAACAAATCAAACACGAGCTAGCAGATGACATTGAACTATGCCGTGGCAGTCCTTTGCAGACCACAGAGTTTTAAATTTCCCTGTGCAGTGCAAAAAATGTTGAGAGTCTGAAAAAAAGATTTGGCAAATACTTGAAGTAAACCATCCCTTTTTCTCATGTCATCGCTTCAGTATGTCACTAGTACAGTAAAGGTGGAGGACAGCACATCCAGCATGGGAATCCCTCTTTGATACAGATCTGTAATGTGGACAAGTTATCAAACCTTTTTAAACGTGAGGTTAGTTGTATAGCATGGGAGAAAATTGTGCAATTTTAAGACAATGAGATTGATTTGTAGTGTATTTATGTGCCTAGGTAAGCTGCATATCATGTCGCCTGTGCTATTTCAGATTTACTGCAAATGCAGGTGTTTTCTTAGGTAGTAGAAACACAGTTGGTCTAGTGCTACAGGGTACTAGCAGATCAGGGGCTTGCCAGGAACCAGTTCTCTCTTATAATACTGTGCTGTGTGGTTTACCAGTGATGCTGTGACTGGTTTTACTCACTCCTAGTATTTTCTGGTGGATGTGTTAGCCACAGCCTGAGGACTAGGCAGTGTGGAAGCATGTTCTATAGAAGTAGGCTATAGTCATTCTGGAGTTTGATGTTTAGCTACAAGGGTCCCATGGTGTTATTTGGCCTATATGCATTGGGCCAGGCAAGTCAGAGTGTCTCCCATTTTAGAATAGAACGGCATTTGGTGGAATTGTAATGGATTTAGCGGACTGTAACCATTTGAAGTCTCCTGGACCAGGATTAGAGGCTGCTTTAAAACAGGAAATGCTCAGAGCTCTTCAAAATATGTCTGAGATTGCTGTCTGTCTGTCTTTTGTACACAATCAATAACTTCTGGAAGTGAGGGGCTTGCTTTGGCTCGCTGATGCTTCGATTCCTCCTCTTGCTGAAGCAACAATTGCAGCAAAAGAGGTAACCCTTCATCATCTCCTCTGTGTATGCAGTGCCTCACTGCATGGCTTTTGGGGGTGCTGGGGAACAGCTGAATACAGCCACAGCAATATGATGCAAGCAGATTTTTTGCTGGCTAACAAGATGCAAAATTTGCCTCCTTCCAGGCAAATGTGAAGCTTACATCTGAGTGCTTGGGCTTTCATAACCAGGCTTTTGACGAGGTGCAGTTCCATGGAACAGCTGAGGCCCCATGGTCTGACAGTCCAGAAGCCAGAAAGGTCTGGGAATGTCATGCAATCCAAAAAACTGACTCACTTGTGTAACCTTGGGCAAGTCACGCAACCTCCTTTGTGAGCCAGCCAGGAAATTGGCTGTGCAGTGCGAGTTAGGTACTACTCCTGAACCTAGTCCTTCAGGAGGAACCAAACATGCGATAAAAAATAAAACCAAACCCCAAAATGTACTGTTGTGTTAATCTCTGTCATTTAATTGTCCCTTCTTTAGGTCAGAAAGCTCTGCAATTACGTACTCATATCTTTCTTCTCTGATATCCTTTTTTCTGCAGAGGATGAGAAACGCAGGAAAAGGGAAAATCAGATGCATCTTGAACGTTTACGGGCACTCCTCATCATAACCTTCATAGTGCTGATGTTTCGATTCACTGTCAGCGAGAACAGAGAAGGGACCAACATTTCCTGGAACTACTTTGTGAATGAGATGCTGGCGAAGGGGGAGGTCCAGAGAATCGAAGTGGTGCCAGAGAGTGATATTGTGGAAATTTATCTGCACCCAGGAGGAACTCCACATGGACAAGTTGTGAGTGGCTTTCTACAATTGGATTGAATAATCTTAGATTATAATGTTCAAAAGAGTTGAATTAATTAGTGGCTTTCTACAATTGGATTGAATAATCTTAGATTATAATGCTCAAAAGAGTTGAATTAATTAATATATGTTGGGTAAAACTCTAGCTGGTAAATTTGCTCTGTCAGTTTTTCCTCATAAGTTCAGAGGACTTCTGTTACTCATATCAACCTGGAAACAAAGCCTTTTATTTTAAATTGTAAAAATAATTAATAATGGCCTGGAAGAAAATCTTAAATTTATCTAAAAAGCTAGGAAAAATTCAATAGTTTTTCCTTACTGTCTCAGTCCAATATGTGAAAAGGTGTCTAGAAGGTTGTATGCTCTTATTACTAGATCTTGTTTCAAAAATTTTCTCCCATTTGGATTTTAGTTTCAGGTCTTCTGTCAAACTCCATCAGACTTCCTTCCTGAATCTTCCAAAATGGAAACAAAGCAAAGTTAGGTTACATACTTACTTCCAGGAGTTGCCACTAAGAATTATTACAAACTAGCTTGAGAGATTAAAATACTGTTCTTGGATACATCCCACTTTGTTCAGTGACTTATGATCCATTTGCAAACTGCTGGTTGAAATTAATTTCTAAGATACAGAAACAAGATCCAAGACATCTGAGTGGAGCACAAGACTGACACCGCCCTCCCAATGATGTAGTGTTCCATACATAGGACAAAATTTTGTCTGAGTCCCAGGTATTGGTATAACTGGGTTCAAAACACTAACTCCATCCTTCATCTGGCCTCCAAAGTTGTTGCATCTCCTTGTTTCTAGAGAGCTGTGACTTAGTTCTTGACTTGCATGCTTTCATAAGGTGCTGAAAAGTCTAGAGGTGTTCTGAAGTTTGTTTGGAGCCCCGGTGTCAGTTACCTGCTCCTGAGTTCATGGCTGCAGTATCAAAGGACGTAACATAAGGCTAACTTACCTGACTTGTGCGCTGCTTCTGCTCGTTGCTGTATCCTTATACTACAATACTTAAACGCTGCTTTTGATTGCACTTCCCCAGAACGTTACGCTGTTGTACACAATGCGGGTGGCAAACATTGACAAATTTGAAGAGAAGCTGAGAGCTGCGGAGGACGAGCTGAATATTGATGAGAGAGAGAGAATCCCCGTTTCCTACAAACATCCTGGCTTTTATGGAAAGTATGATACAAATTTTGTGCTTACTGTTGATCTTTTATTGGTGATGACATCCCTCACTTAGAGAGGAAAGTCACTTTCAACTAGATGTTGTTATATAAATATAGAACAAAAAAGTAGTCTCAGTTTTGGAGTGCTTACCCTGTCTTTCAGGAACAGGCATGCTCTAGATGTACCTTAATGTTTCAAAAGTGAGGGTCCCATGAAAGCGTCTGGAACTGCAGCATGCAGCAGACCGAAGTGGTTTGGGTCAGTGACAGCAAGTCTGAGGAAGGTCTGTGTTGGTTGCCGTGCATCCTTGCACAGCAGAGCACTTTTTGTCCTTACAATCAATTATTGAGGTGTGGAGTGTGATAGGAATCCTGACTCAACAAGTGATGTTACACTCTGGTCTGTGGAGAATGCTAGTGGTGCCGTGAGCCTTCCCCCATTAAAATGCTGCGAGGAAGGCCTGCAGTGGTGGTTCAGCCTGTAAAAATAAACACCTAGTTTTGGCCTGTTTCTCCAGCAGCTGTAGCTCTGAGGACAGCCTGCGCTGGTGCTTGCTCCAGCTGTGAGCCACATACCGAGCAGAGCAGCTTTGATGCTAGCATACAAAATCACAATGAGAAGTACTTCTGTTAAACTTGCAGCCCTTTTCTGTTACCTGGAACCAAGATCCTTTGCTTAAAAAAAAAATAAATCAAAGCTTTTAAGTCTGAAATGAGCTATAATGAGCAAGAAGAGGGAAGATCTGTCAAAAGAGTATAGAGCACTGGCTCGGCTTTATTATGTGTTTTCACATGATGATTTGTGGGCATTTGCTGCTGACGTGGCTTATTTGCCCTTCTGTTAAGACCAGCAGCTTGTTTTTGAAAACAGGATTTATGGGGTCCAGAGTACAAAACAGACCTGTGGAGCTCGCTCAGTGGGCTGTTGAACAAGTATTGAACAAGTCCATCTCCATCACCAGTGACCATTACACTGGTGTAGAAAGATGCTTTCTGTAGGTGTGGGTAGAGACTCCAGTGTTTGGCGAGCTCTCGACTAATTGCTTATTCTAAATTATTAACACAGAGATATAGTGCAGAAGTCCTGTCTGCTAGATAAAGAAATCCTGATTCCTGAGAACAGATAGCATCGTGCTGCTGCATTTGTCTGCCAAGATGGCCCAGTCACTCACTTGTGCACCCTGCACAGCATGCCTTCTGGTTTTAGTAGCTCGTAGGGTTTGGAGCACAGTGGTTTTCCCACTGTAGGTGGGGATTGTCAGTGTGTGTAATTCTTCTTCCCAGACACCTTGCCAAAATGGGAAACAGATGTCATGGGTGCCTGGACTGGATTTTGTCTAGTTACTTGTCCTATGAACAAGATTTGCACACTTTTAATACATGGTTTATATAATGATAAACTTTTTTTAATTTATCATGCAGTATGAGACCTTTAGTTGAAATTCAGAACTTGCCAATTTTTTCAAACTTGTGTATAACAGGAAAAGTAGACTGAAGAGTTAGTCAGCCACCAACACAAGCTGCTTCCCCTGTCCTGAAAAGAGACTATTTTTTTTTTTTAAAGAGATATTATAGGGTCTGAAGTCTCTCAGGAGACTTGATGAATGTCTGGAGAATTCAGAGTCTCAGTTTGGAGTTTGAACCTGTGAGGTGCAGAGCATTTACTTGCAGCTTGGATTCAGTTTACTCTGAGATGTGGGCAGTTGATGCGTTTCAGAATTAGTCCTGTTTGCATAGTTGACAAACTGAAGGTGACTTTCAGTTTCCAGTGTTGCCTAGGATCTCTCACCAAGAAGAAACAAATGCAACTGGGTATAGAGCACATGCTGGTCCCCTTGCTTCAGTAAATCATCCCTCTGGGAGAGATGGAACGCACATTCCTAGCTTAAAGATAAGACATAGAAGTGTGTCGAGAGCAGATGATTTCACAGGCATGTGAAACAGAACAGGGTCCCACAAATCCTAACCTGTCATCTGAAATATGGTCCTTTTTCCTGCTGTTGAAAGCATCTTTTGTTTAGAGCTCACAGGATATTTGTCCTCAGCATGTTTGTCTGTAACTGTATTAGACCTGCAGTGCCATCTCTGTTCCACGTCTCCCTCCTAATGCAATTGGTATTGCAAAGGATCCAGAAAATTGATGATTTTGGTTGCTGTAGCAGTTCTTCTGTCATGAAGGACTTCTGAGAGACTTGACCAGGGAGGGCCAACCAGAATAGGTAAAGAAGCCACTTAACGGGAGACCCACACCGGGATTTCTGCCAGGATTAGGGATTTTGGAATCTCTCTGGTGTTGCCTGACGCAGGTCTTCTAGAGTGAGCTCCCTCTGGATGGGCTGCCAGCCCTGCTAGTTTCTGTTCTGGGTATGATTTGGCTGCCTGAAGATCCTATTTGTTTTATAAGTAGAAATGTCTCTGGAGGGGATGATGAGGTTGAATTTCTTCCACAGCTGTAAGCAGTATTTGCCAGTGTCCTCTGTTTAACTTTTTAGGTTATCTAATTGTTGGGGGGTTTGTTTTTTTGTTTTTTATAGATATGTATTAAGAAACCTGTAAAGGTTCCATTTTCTTGGTTATGTCTGCCCATTGCTGCACTTGTAGCCTAAATGTCAGTACCTTTATAATACTGAAAATAGTGACGTTGAGCATTATTTACCAAGTTGTGGCTGGACACTTCAATTTGTACCCGTCTTGCTTTTGTCCTTTTAGTGACATCATTTCCCTGATAGTGACGCTTGTGGCTGTGTCCATGTTGTGGAGTATCTTCCGCCTTATTAGGGTTGCAAGCCGGGTAGGAGGATTCAACGCCTTTGTGAGTATCCTGGATCTTGGTGGTGTTTTGCAGCCTCTGGGTAGTCTTGTCTTCTGCTGGCCTAATCTCCCCTTTCTCCAGCGAAGTCAGTGCAGAATGAGAATTAACCGGTGCCAAGGACTCTCCAGTCATGACACATCTTGCTGCTTTTCCTGTCCTGATCATCTGACTAACTCGTACAGTATCTGGCCTTAGCTGAGGCCCTTTCTTTCCCCAATGGCAGGAAGGGCTGAGCTCAGTGAATTCGCAGTCCAGTTTGCTCTGCTATTTTCAAAGCCTGCTAATGAGTTGCAGCTGCAGATGGTGTTTTTCACTGGATCCTGCCAATGTGCCTCCCATACAGCCAGAAGTAGGAATTGCTGCTTTCTGCAAAATGAGTTCTCAATTTATACAATATGTTCAGATTCTGGATTTCATTATGTGTTGGCCTGTTCCGCTCATGCCACATGCCTTGCTTGCAACATCAGTCAAATCTCCTCCTCCCCTCTTCCACCCTTGCCTGGATCAGCTGATGAAACTCTGTAGAAATCAGCCCGGGGTGCACTGCCATTGACCGCAGGGATTTGGGGATGAAAATACAGTGAATTCAGTCCCTTGTTAGATTTGCCACATAGCATCCTCTGTAGTTCTCTTCTAGCTCTGGGATTCTCTTTACACAAAGGGATGCAGCTGCTCAGAGGAGAAGAATATTTTAAAGAAGTGTTGAGTAATGAGGGCATTGAAGACTAGATTCTGTCCTTGCGTAAGTGGGGACAGCTAGGCCCTGTGTGTTTAACTCTTCCTTTGGATCAGCTGATGCTTGAGGCCTGAGAAGCTATAAACTCTCTTCAAAGGAAAAAAAAAATTCCAAGTAGCTGTTTTCAGTAGAACATAATGAGCAGTTACAAGTAGGGCATTTAACTAAATTCTTGTTTTGACTGTCACTGTGGCTTAACACACACCAGGAGACTGAAATGTGGTGTCTGTTAAATTTGAGAACCTATAGTTTTTGTTCTGTCCTGGGTTGTGTTGCAGTAGAAACCAGCAGCAGCATCGGACAATGGTGCAAAGTGTCTGTTTATATGCATTTACAAGACAGTATCGGTAATTATTTACCACTGGCAATTATTTACCATCAATACATATTCCTCAAAAGTATACCTGTCCTATGTGTATTAAGGATCAGAACATTTAGAAATTGAGGAGATGATCCCAAATAAGGTTTGGGGTATTCTGCATGTTTTTAATAAGTATCCCTGCCTGGTGTACGTGGAGTTTGGGCTGGATTGTGTTGGGACTATTAGTGCAGGTTTATTCTGTCTCTTCCCAACAAGGTGTGGATAAATAAAGTTTGAGTCAACAATTGGGCTGTGAAATGTTTCCAAAGCAAAAATTAGTAAAACACCAATGTGTTGGTGGGCATTTTAGTGGTGTGTGTTAGGGGCAGCTTCTACCTGTGCTGTCTCCCAAAGTATAGCAAAGAGCCTTTCCAGACTATTGATTGCCTTGTCCAAAGTCAGAGCGTGTCTTCAGTATTTGTGTTACCTTCCACAGAACCAGTTGAAAATGGCTCGTTTCACCATTGTGGATGGGAAGTCTGGAAAAGGAATTGGCTTCAAGGATGTAGCGGGAATGCATGAGGCAAAAATGGAAGTCAAAGAATTTGTGGACTATTTAAAGGTATGTAAAAGTGGAACAAAATAAGTGCTTGTTATCTGTCTTCTGGGATAGATGGCTGACCTGGGGAGGAAGGTGTATTTTTCTCTTCATCCTTCATGACACTGAGCAGCCTCCATTTAAATAAGCTGACAGCTTTTTATGCCGTGATCAGCATGACTCAATCCCTATATTTCCAATTCCTTAACAGGAATGCAGATGTAGCTGCTCCCAGTAGCAGCCCAGAGTTGCTCAGGCTGAAAACAGTATCAGGAAGCTCTGGGAGGCCGTATTCTTGTGCAGGTGCTTCACGTGAGCTGAGAATCTGACAGAGCTGTGTTGATCTTGCAGAGTCCTGATCGCTACCTTCAGCTTGGGGCTAAAGTGCCCAAGGGTGCCTTGTTACTCGGACCACCAGGGTGTGGAAAGACGTTGCTGGCGAAGGCCGTGGCTACAGAAGCACAAGTGCCGTTCTTGGCCATGGCAGGCTCTGAGTTTGTGGAGGTGATAGGAGGTAAGCTCCTCAGGAGGAAGGGTGTGGAGGTCACTTGGTCTGTGGAGTTGGAGGGTGCTGGCTGGGCCTCTTGCAAAGGACCGAGTTTTAGCCTGTGTTTGCATGAGGATGATGAGTTGGATGTTTTTAACAAAAATATAAAAGATTTCCAGTGGTAGAGAGTACTTAATTATGTAGGAGCTAAAAAGCATGCCCTCTGAATTTCTTTCTGCCAGTGTGCGGCCATGGTTCTTCACCTGAAAGCATTATCTCTGACTTCCCTGTACCTATTATTAAAGCTGAGACTTCCTTCCTTCCTTATATGAGGATGCTGGTGGATTTTCTGCTGCTCCCTGCTGATGGAGAAAGTATGGCCTCTTTGTGCCTCAAGATTTCCATCTTCCTCCTTTTCCTCCTTCCTCCTAGATCTCTTGAGACCCGACAAGGGCCAGTGTGCAAGAACATGCTGAATATTTCAGCTTCTGACCTGTGGAAGGAAGAGGAGTTCATGTTAGGAGCTGGGACCAGAGCCCCTCTTGCAGCAGGTGTAGAAGCTCAGTGAGAGGCCAGCACGCTCCAGGAGGAGCAGTGCCTAAGGGCTGTTAAACATATGAGTTATGTGGCTATTTTTTTGTGCCAGGAGTGTTGGGGGGGGGACTACCGTACACTGAGGATTTACCTGGTGTCAGGTGTCTTGTTAGGGGCTAAGAATTCTATTCTCCACTGTACTAACAGTATTAGCTGTGAGGCTTATGTCTTCTTCCCTTCCCCTGTAGGTCTTGGAGCTGCCCGTGTTCGGAGCCTCTTCAGAGAAGCCCAGGCTCGTGCACCCTGCATCGTGTACATTGATGAAATTGATGCTGTGGGCAAGAAGCGCTCAACCAATATATCTGGTTTTGCCAATGCTGAGGAGGAGCAGACCTTAAACCAGCTGCTGGTGGAAATGGACGGTCAGTATTTCTCTCTGCCTGTCAACAGCTGGGCCCTTATTGCTGTAGAGGTCCAAGCTGTTGGCCTCTACATGTTTTTCCTCCTTGAACTTGCCATGTCTCTTTAGCATTCTCTTCTTGCTTGAAGTAATTACCATTGCACTGAAACAAATTTCATTCCCCCCTTCCCTGGCATGAGGCTAGCTAGCACTTCGCAGCCTGTTCAGGACTAAGCCGAGAACTACAGCTTGGTCCTGTCCTTGCTAAAAGACCGTCTGTACGACTAGTGATAACTGTGTTTTGGACTGCTGCTTAGTGAAGGGGCTGCAGCCCTGAATGTCAGGATGTTTTTGGGTTTTTTCCCCTGTGTGGACACCAGCGTGGCCTGGGCTGGCTTTGCTCTGGTTTCAAGGGTCGTCATATCTCTCACTTGAAGTCGATCCTTTCTCTGTTCTTTTTCCCCTTCACCAGCTGCTGTGCTGAGTACAGAGGAAAAGCAGCAACTGCTGTTCGGCATAGGGTTTGTGGAAGTTGTGTGCCCAGTACTTGCTTCACCCTGACTCAACTTTCCTGCAGAACCTTTAGGAATCTCCTCAAGCGCCCCTCTGAGCCCATGTACCGCATCATTAGTCCCTGTTTCTGAAGGCACTGTAGCATATCTCTCCTCACCTGTTCCTGGAGACTTAGGCAGGACTACTCCAGGGCTGATGTTACCTAAGGAAGTGATTGGGCTTAGGACAGATCTCTGAGTATGTGCTGTGACTAAGTTGTGGAGCTAACCCTCTTGAAATCTAGACATTTATATAGGCTTTTAAGGGTTTGGGGCTAAATCTAGTAAATTTTAAAAACCTGGAGCCAAGTGGTTTTGTGACTGTACTGAAGACTCTGAGTCAGAAGAGTGTAGCGTCACATCCCGAGTGAATTTGCACAACAGCCACACAAGCATCCACCTGCTAATAAAATGAACAGAAAATGTGCATTAGAGATCATGGCTGGCAGAGGGCAGCAACACCAGAAGCTCTTACTGTGGGAAGGGGTTCAGTTTGGGACTGTTTTCCCCTTGGTAGGTGGAGAAGAATTATTTGCACTACTGGGGAAGCAAAAGAAAATGAATGGGCAGGAAGGGCACTGCTGTCTGTAGAGGGTAATATTTAGGTGCAGCTGGCCATTAAATGTTGCCGGATACTTACTGTATTCCATCTAAGACAGGTGGCTTAAAGCCTGTTAAGGTTTAAAGTTTGATTGTCCCAGAGGGACATAAGCAATGTAATTCTCCCATCCTTTGATGTATTCTCACGTTGTCTGCCTGTCTACAGGATCCCCATCTAAACTGAGAGAGATAAGCTTTGCAAACAAGTCCTGGTTTGATGCCACACTTCTGGATGGATTCTGACTGTACCGCATCTGGAATCGGCCCTTTTCTCAGGCACTTTCACACAAGTGTCAAAAAGAATGATCTATTCTTAGTCATAACTCTGTCAGAGCCTGCAGCGCTGACCCAACTTGCAGTGTTTCTGTTGCTAAATCTTATAATTGCAGAGCAGGGTAAGGAATAACTAACTACCTGCCCATCGGGGAGTGTTTGTGTTGGTCTGCTGTTTTGTGGGACAGAGCCGCCTCTTCACTGGACTGCAACTGTGACACTTATTGTCTCATCACACTCATAATATGACAAATCAAAAGCTGTCCTGCAGTAAAAGCATCCCCCTTTCTCCAGACCTTGTTAAACGGGTTAAAACTGCCTGGTTTTTTTACTGAATGTTTGCAGTAAAACAGGGATGCAGCCCTGCTGAAGTAGAGCACATCTTGCAGTTCTGCAGCAAGACTGCCTTCTGGAGATTGCTCTGGAGACAGCACTCCCTTTTCAAGGAGAGAAGCTGGGACTTGTAAAACTGCTTTCAGCAAAGGGTAGACGTTCCTTCATATGCAAGATGATCTATAATTCTGGATCTCTGCCCTTGCTGCAGAAGGAGGAGAAATTGTAAATGGGAGCACAGCATGGTACAGACAGCAGAGGGGTCCTGCTGTATAGAGACTCTGCAGACCTCTCTCTGCTTCAGCACAGGTGCTGTGAAGTGTTTGAAGGAGAGGAAAGAGCTTTAAGGTCCTAAACAACCAGACAGAAACCTGGTTATTAGAGGAACACCCTTGAAACACACAATGCTACGTAGGTACCAGAAATCACCTTAAATATGTGCGTGCAGCTCCCTGGGACTTTGCACGTGCACTAACTTGGGCAGCTTGGCTAAGCATGTAAATATTCCTGGGGTGAATATAACTTTTTACAGGTGTACCAGTATAGTAGGTGTCGACAGAAAGGGCTGGTAGTAACACACAACAGCAATCCTGCCGTGGTTGGGTTGTTTTTCCTCCTGACGGTTGTAGGGTGAGCTAGCAACAGGCTAACACTGAATGAAATGGAGACCCATCTGTCTCTTCAGGAATACATAGTCTGTACAATCCCCATCTCTCTAGCAAAAATGAAAATGACTGATTTCCTCCAGTCTGTAGAAATTCGGTGTGCTTTCTAGGGTGTTTTCTTGCTGAGTCTCAATTCAGAAATTAGTGTACAACTCTATTGGAAAGTGGGTTTACAAAGTAAACATTATCCTCAATATCTAGTTTAAGAATCCCTTGTTTGCTGTGTGCTGCCTAGGTTATTTTTAAATTTAAATTGTCTCATTATTTATTCGTGTCTCATACAGATCATGTACTAAGTCCTTCATTTGGCTAAGTGCTTTATCAAACACATACTGAAAAAATAGCCCAAGGAGTTTACAATGTCGAATGGGAGACAGCTGGCAAGGACTGTCAGGCTAGTACAAGAAACGTGGACTTATTGTTGGCTTGTACTCATAAGCAGGGATCTTGGCACATGTTACTGAAATGTTATCTAACTAAACTTGTTACCCAAACGAACACTGAAGTGCTATGTGCATTGTGGCAAAATAGTTTTTAGGATGCTGGTGAATAAGGTTTTTTTTTTTAGGAGATTAACGGTTCTACTCAAGAACAGGCGGAGGAGTGGGGTGTGTTTGTAATGAGGAAGCCTTGAAATGGAAGGTTGAGAGCTCTGTTTTAGCTGTCTTTGGCTTAAATTGATGGTTGAAGTTCTGCAAGGCAACACCATAGAACAGAGTTAGCTATTAATTTGAGGGGGGGGGAATTCGTGCAAAAGTAGATCAGTGAGTCATCAGCTTAGCAGTGATAGTCGAATTTGTGTGTTCAAATGAGATTACTCAGAGGTAAGGTAGAGGAAGAAAAGGAGGGTCAGAGCTGTATGGAACCCGCTCTGCAGGCTGGAGGAAGGATGAGGACACCAGGAAAAAAGCCATTATGCGAAGTTGTATGGGATGAATGTGCAATTTGATACTTGGTAATTCTGGTATGCAGGTTTTAGAGTAATTGTAGTGCTCTTCCTGCGAGCGACCTTGGTTTCCTTCGCTCTGACAGCTTGCTTTGTGTTCTGGAAGCACCGGGAGTCTGGTGGGAGAAGGGGAGGGACTGGAGGGAGCCTGTATGTACAAAAGCTGTTTTTAAAACCAGAGTGACACATGTACTCCAGGCTTTGTCAAAACAGGTGCCTGGTTTGAATAGTAAATCTTCCCTCACAAACCGCAAACAAGCGGAAGAGGAATGTGACCCAAATATATCCTGTGTTCTGAATGCGTTTGAGAGGAGCTTTACAGTCCTGGGCTGATCTGTGTCTTGTGAATGAAAATGCAAGACGTCCTGCAGGACATCCTTTGGTAGCAGCTCTTCACCTGATGTCCTCAGGCAAGACCTCTCTCCCAATCTGTGCTGTGTCCAAGTTTCTGACCCTGAGGCTTCCCTCTCAAAGGTGGCCCCGTTTCAATGATGTTGCTCACAGATGATGTCCAAAAGGCTTTTGAACAAATGCCTGGAGGATTACACAGTGTAATAATGCAGATGAGACACCCATCAAAGTAATGTGCTCAGCTTCAGTGGGGAGCGCAGCACTTGCCAGTTCAAGTGGACCATTTTTTCCCTTTCCCTTTTGAAGTGGCTTTGTTTGTAAACATTGTAGATATGAAGGCTCTCTTCAGGCTAAATTTTCAGAGCTGTTTTTTGTTTGTTGATGTGACTGAGGTGTTGTTTTCGCAGACTGTTCCTTTGGCTGATCTTTGCCTCTGGAAGCCAAAGCCTGTGACACACCAGGTGATGCTGCATTGGGAACAGTAATAGGAATCGGAGGCTGCAGTTGTAGATTTCTTGGAGCGGCGCTTCACACCGGGCTTGAGACAAGTGGGGCAGAAGCTGATGTGAGGAGGACGCTCTCAGTGGTTTTGTTTGGGTTGGGTTTTTTATATTTGTTCTAATAGTCAGACCTATTTTAAGAGAGTTTTCCCAGCTGCAAAGCAGATAATGTACTGTACCATCTAATCCTGCCATGTGAATGAAGTTTGCTATCCCCCAAGTGCCTGCCAGTCTCACTGCCTATTTATCACACTCCAAAGTGCAGTGTGATATATGCCTGAAGAATGGTCGGCTTCATCCTCTCCAGGAGCTTATTTAGACAGCATCCTGCAGGCAGGAGGAACTGCGGTTTGCTATAGCACAAGCTGATGGAGCCAGTCCTCTGACTTACCTGTAACCTTAATCTCTCTGCTGAGCTCTTGTACGCTGACACATTTGGCAGCTCTTCTGGTGGAGCCGGAGAGAGCTGAAACTCGCCCAGCTTACGTGCATAAAGCTGCCTCTCTGCAGCGTGTGACTTGGCAGCAAAGGAAGCACGTGGGCCTAACGCGTCCTTTCCCTGGGAAGGTTGCTGTACGCCAGGGCTGTTGAATCTGCTGTAAGCAGGTGACTCATACCCAGGGGCCTGCGGGCACCTGGTGGAATGTAATAAATAAGCCATGTGGTTCGGTGATTCAACATGATCTCTAGCTCCCCACCCAAGGAGCACAACCGCCTGCCCCTTTCTGCCCTCCTCCAGCTGCTAGTGCTCTGGCTTCCCCAGGAAGCTCTGTCTGCCTTTGATGCCTCCATACTGCAGGCTGCTCTCACAAAGCCTGTAAATCCTGATGTCCCTTCATCTTAAAGACCTGGAGACAAAACCTTCTCTGACTGTGGCTTGAGCTAGTGCATGCAAAGCTGTTTGGTGTTGGGTGTTTGGGCAGACACGTGTTTTGTGTCTGTAGTGTAAGTTCTGCAGGGTTGGTCTTTGCACTGGTCTGCAGTATGCCTGGGTGCCTTCTGGGTGGTAAAAGATGAGTAAGAAGACAAAGATCAAGTCGTGCTGTAACATGCCCCTCACTGGGTGGCAAGGCTACGTCCTCCCTTTCTGCATTAACCTGAGCTGGTCAGAAGAGAGCCTGTCCCTTCTTCTGGTGATCCTGGTGGCCTCTCTGTGGCTGAAGGCTAAACATAAATGAAAGCTGAAAGGGCTTTGCACAGAAATATTTGGGAGGGAAAGGCTATTTCAGCTGGCAAACGTTGTTTGTACAACCTGGAGCTAAAGGAGAAGGAATTGACTTGAGCCCGGGGGTGAGAAGGCATCTCCGAACTCATCAGAATAGAGAGATTCTGTTCTGGTTTCTAGTTGGAGCAATTTCCAAATGTGGCAAAAGGAAGAGTTTAAAAAAAAAAAAAAAAGTTGTAAGCCAAGGCTTATTATGTAAATGAAAAGGGAATTTCAGAGTATTCATGATGACACAGAGGTTGGCCTGGGTGACTTGGGAGGTTCTTTCCTGCCTTGTGCTCCCAGCTGAAGAGGACACTTCTCAGCCTCAGCTGCCCCAAAGGGTGCTGTAAACGCCCCCAGCTTTGTGATAAAGCTGTGTAAGACATTCTCTGCATCCTGCCCCTTTGTCTGCTTGCAGTGCAGTACCTGTGATGGTGGAAACCTTCACCTTTGTTTTTGCTTGTTTTTCTACAGGAATGGGAACCACGGATCATGTCATAGTGCTGGCTTCCACCAACCGTGCTGACGTCTTGGATAACGCCTTGATGAGACCTGGGAGGCTCGACAGGCACATCTTTATCGATCTTCCAACACTCCAGGTATGTTACGCCTACTGCCCTGTCCCTAATGCTAATGGCTAAGGTGTCCCTGTCCTTGCTGGTGATTCACTGGCCTGGCAAAGGCTGAGCTTGGAGAAGATAGAGATGGTAAGCTTCTGTTTACCTTATTCTTACTTAAGTGCTCAGAATCAAGGATTTGACATGCTAATGCAATTGTCATTTCAGAGAAAGAAGTAGCTCGCTGCTTTTAAGTGTCTCTGCTCTGGTATGAGCTTTGGCCATGAATTCTTCTGTGAGGCTCTCTTTGCCATGCAGATGCAGAACTATGTTTGTGTCTTCTCTCCAGGAAATTGGGAACAACCTAATTGGCAAGTTGGCTTGTGTGAGAGCTTAAATTGTCATGTGCCTTGAGCACCATTTGTTCTGTAGGTTTATTGTCCTCACTAGCCTTGTAAGGCTCCTCATTTTCCTTCAGGCAGCCAGTTAAGTGACTTTCTCCTTCTGAATGCTTTTTAAATCCATTTACTAGGAGTCTTCCATGTCTGCTGTGTTGATGTTTCTAGCAGAGTTTTGGGAATAGGCTCAGCTGCAGCAAAGATCTGTTTGCTCTGCCAGCACAGGCTCTTCTTCTCCCATCTGTGCTTTACTGTTGTCCTTAGAGTTTTCAGTTAAAATACCTTAAATGCCTGATAGAATCTGGTACTGGAAGCATGAACTGTGCAGCTGCCCTGAAGGGGGAAAGGGAAAAACCCTGGCAGCTGAGCCCCTTGTTTTAATTGGGATCTCCTGGAGCAGCTGAAGGAGTTGCTCCTTGGCTACTTGCTGGCCATCATCTCAACCCCACCTTCATCTGGGAGATGGTCGCGGGCTAAGCAGCTAGTAGATGGGGTTTTTGTTGGCGGCATCTGAGGGAGCAGGTAGAGGCAGTCAGAGCTCCTTCCTGTGAGTGCTTTTGTGGTAAGAGAAAAGTTAAGACAGATCAGAGTGAAAGTGAGGAGGGGAGAGTGGCCATGAGTGAGAAAGCCATGACTCATGGTAAGCCTCCACACATCTGTTCTGAATTTGAGAGCTGGGTGTTCACTAGGGCTCCTGTAAGGACAGCCCTGCCCTCTGGTGGCAACGTCCCTGTCCCCACTGCCAAGGATGTGCTTTCTCCTCCTTGCCGTGCACTGACACTGCTGCACTGTGAAGGCTTGCTGGGCTCAGGTGTTCTGTGCTCCTCACAGGAGAGAAGAGAGATCTTTGAGCAGCACCTGAAGGGTCTCAAACTGATCCAGGATGCCAGCTTCTACTCGCAGCATCTTGCTGAACTGACTCCGGGCTTCAGCGGTATGATATCCTGTGTCCTTGTGGGGCTGCTCTGCCTGCTAGTTCTGCAGTTCAACCTGGAGCTGCTTGGTTATTTAGTTTTAACGGGGTATTTTGGTCTAAAAGGCTTTTTTCTTTGAGCCTTCTCAATCTCTCTGGAAATAGTGGGCACCTAAACAGCTCTCTGGTGAATAGAGCTGTGATGAGCAATTGTTCATGGCTATTTTCAATCTTCTGAAACTTCTGGGACCAGCAGGGTGTGGGGGTAGGGAAAATACCCTTTTTTTTTTTAATGCCTGAGTTCCGAATTCCTAAGGGGAGGAACCACTGCTCATGCTCCTGTCCAAGCTGTTGAGGATGAGATGTTGCACTTCAGGGGAAAGACTCTTAAGTTGATATACGTTACCAGGAAAGCGATAGGAGGAATGAACAGCAATTACTTTGCTGGTTACAGTAGAAATTGGACAACTCTGCCTGGCTCCTGCATGGAGCCTGTTTCCAGGGTAGGTCCCTAGGAGTTTGAAACTGTGCTGAGCAAGGGGCTCCAGAGTTCCTGTTTATGTGGAGTTCCTGGAATATCCTTTCTGGGTTTCCCCTCTAACAGGCCCCAGCACACTGCCTCTTCGTGACTTCTTTCAGCAGCCCCCCGCCACCATCACCCACACACACACACAAACTCAGAACAGATGTTCTTTCTCTTCCGCACAGAGGTTGTGCGGTTGCTGTATGAACAGTGCGGCAGCCCGTGCCAACGCAGACTGCCCACGCTGCTCCCCTGTCGCTGAGGGCCAGCCTTGGCTTTAGCCTGTTAATTGATTGCTGAACTCTGTCCTCTGTGTGGCAACACAGCGTTCATTGCCAAGGCAGTCGCATTGTTCAAGTCCAACATAAACACCATGGACTAGGTTTGCTCCCTGTTCCCAAGGAACAAAAAAGCACAGGCTATTTGACTTCCTCAAGTCCTTCTCCAGATTTGTTCTTGCCTCTTCTGTCCCCTGAAATATCTCTCAGATAGCAAATCCAAAGTAATTCCTGTAAACTCTGGTCTACAGGAGCTGACATAGCGAATATCTGTAATGAAGCTGCTCTTCATGCTGCTAGAGAAGGTCACAAATCCATTGATACTTTCAACTTTGAGTATGCTGTGGAAAGAGTCATTGCAGGTAAGTGAGCCAGCTGTTTCTGTTGTTGTCTTACTAATCTGTACCACACTTCTTGAGAGAAGGCTCAAGAACCAATAGCTCAGGGAAGATGGCCAGTAGCAAAACAGCAAAGAGGGGAATTCAAATCTATATGGCTGCCTTTAGTTTACAAAGTTGGGGTTTTTTAAAAAAAAAAAAAAAAGGTGGAAGTATCTCTGGGATTTTCTTGCTGCTCTGGACACCTGCTACATAAACATGAATAACAAATAGGCTGCGCATCCTCAACAGCAAGAAATTAGGGATTTTTCTTTTTGGCCTCAAAGCCCAGGCTTTGAATTGGCAGAATAAACTGAAAGACAGTAGAGTACTGTTCTCCCTCTGAGAACATCCTCTCAGCCTTTCCCTGTCACTTGTGCAATTGCCAGCAGAGGAACCTCTGGAGATTACCCTGTAGCAGCATAATATAGGGAGGGGGAAGAGAGTTCCCAGAACTCTTGACTTCACCTGAGGGATTTGAATCTGGTGGGTTTCGGTCTGAACTGCCCTGTAGCCAAGCCGTGGTTTTCATAATCAGACACTTAACTGCTTCCAGGCTGCAGTGTCGTTACCGGGGCTGAGCCTGGGCAAGCAGAGTGGCATGCTGTGCTTTTCTTAGAGCATGTGGAACAGGATGTTTGTACTGGGTCAGTTATTTCCTGATCCTGGAATTTGTCTTGAGTGTTTGCTTCATCAGAAAATGCCTAAACAATTCCTTATTTAAGAGAAGAATTTTGAGGAAATTCCCGACAGTTCCACCTGCCTCTCAAAAACAAAACCCTCGGAGTGATTTGGGTAACTGTGGCCACACTCGCACAAAGCCCAGACTGTACTCAGGAAGGAGCTCCCAGGAGTGGACAGCGAGTCGACTCTAGCTGTAGCGCAGAAGTCTTCATCAGCTGGAGCAAAGATGTGCTTTACTTTCCCATCCGCAGGAGAGAAAGCACCAAACTTGTAGGGATTCACTTGGCTGGTCGTTCTTTCTGCATTCCACCCTTGCCTTAGTTCCCCAGACTTGGAAGATGAGGCAAAAAGCAAGTAAGGCCACGGGGGATGCGTAGCAGAAGGAATATCTGGGATTAATGTGGTGGGGTGTTGCAGGGCATGGGCTTCAGCAGTTTCACTGCTGACTTGCTTCACTAAGGCTCTGTGGTGTGTAGGAGGCCATAAAGTCTTTTTGTTGCTTAATCGGATTCTTTCGTATTAGCAGGACCTGACTATTTTTTGTAGACTAAGCCTGAAAGACCCCAAACAACCCTCCAGGCCCATATATTAAACGTACCCTTGCCATGTAATAGGAACACTTCTGGGTTTCACAATCCAGAGGGCATTTCAGTTGCTATGAAAGCTTTTCTTGAAAGAAAGAAGGCATTACTATGCTTTCCATTATAAGCTTCTGGTTTTAATAAGAGTGGTGTGGAATCAAAAGAGAACTTTGCAAGTCCAGAGGCCCTGTCAGCCTTAAAGCTTTGTGTTGCTGTAAGGGAGGAGTAAGAACTTCTCTCTGTGGTAGTCCCCATTGTGTTTTTAGTTTGGGAACAGAAAGCAGTCAGTAAGTCAGGTCTCCTGGGAGTGAGGGAGGAAACCTGCTGAGTGCACAGAGGCTTTTAGGGTTGTCTTTAGAAGATGTAGTGGAGCCTGTTTTCTTGGCGGGGTTTGTGTACGCTGTGTAAGGCCAGCAAAGCTGCACCAGAGTTGTTTCCTGGGTGGTTTGTCTCATAAATGTGATAAGTACAGGCCTTCAGAGAACTTTCCTGCCTAGAGATTATGTAGGAAAAGAAATAATCTTTGTGGGCACGCTGTGTGCTATTGTGAAGAGTACAGGCACTCCCTCCTTGGTGGGCTGACAGAGGAATGCTTCCAAAAATTTTTAAGTGTGTGTATATATATAGCGAGTATATATATATACATTCTGTCTATGGAAAGAGCCATACAGGCACATGCGCACACCCTGTTGAAGGCAGGGTAAGGGACTGACTGATGAAAATCAAGGCTATTGCAATTAATCTGCTATTCCATCACCATTGTGCCTTGCGGGGCACAGTGGTTTCCAGGGTCCCTAAGCAGTAATTTTACAAGATCTGCCACACTAATTTTGCTGTTTCCTTGTTTTATTAAAGCTCTTGACTTTGTTTAAAAATTAATGTTAATAGTATGTTGTTTTCCAAGACATCAAGCAAGCTTGGTATAATGCTGCTCTTGACTCTGCCTGCTCTACCCCCTACTGCTCCTGGCACTGTGCGGAGACATCGGCTTTAAAGTACTGGTACCTCTCTGCATTCAACACACGGAGCTATGACGAGCACTTGATAAGCAGTGTATTCTGTAGTTAACGTATTTTCTACGTGCTAGAAGTTTTACTTTCATTCAGCTTTTTTTTAAAATCCTAATTGGACTTTTTCTGCGTTGCGGACTACTGGGTTGGAAAATAGACATTTTCAAAAATCACCTTTTTGGAGGAAGTATTAAGTGTGAGTTATAGCTTAATTTGCTAGTTCTCAGGAGCCTGGGAGTAAGCTCAGATGGAGCATGCTATGTGTAATCAGAGACATTTCCAGGGTCTGGAGAAAGATTTTTTTTTTTAATATACTCTTGGTCTTTTGCTGATTTGAACACTCCTAATGCACAAGAATCTCAACTGGGACCTCTCTTATATATAAAGCAACATCTTGCTTCTCTCATGTTCTGCATAAGGGACTGAAAGACCATGCAGCAAAATTAGTATGATACTCTAGCTAGTCTCTGGTTTGGTTTTTGTTAGGTTTGTTTTTTTCCAAAAGGTAGATTTACTTGTTGCAGATCTGTCCCTGGGCAGAGATGTAGTGTAACATGCCTTTGGCAGAACTGGGAACAGAACAGAGCTCTGCGTTCTAGAGCTGTGATCTAATCAAATGTTAAATTATTTGCCTAATGATTAAGTCTATTGTAAAGGGGCGGGGAGGAAGTTTCTGCCAGTGTTTTCAAGCAATACAAGCATTGATTTGCTTTCCACTGCAGGGACAGAGCACACCTCTCCCACAGTGTGTAATTGAACGTGGCTTTACTGCATCTCCCGAGGCAGAGTGTGATATGAAGCTTGCTGGCTGTTCAGCCACAGACTGTGCTAGCTTGTGCACTTAACTGTACAAGATTATGCCCTGCTGGTTACACCTATTGCCAGCTGTCTTATCGAATCCTTGTCTGTGTTCCTCTAGGCACTGCCAAAAGAAGTAAGATCTTGTCACCAGAAGAGAGGAAGGTTGTGGCGTTTCATGAATCGGGTCATGCCTTGGTTGGCTGGCTGCTGGAGCACACCGAGGCTGTGATGAAGGTAACTCTGCTACCAGCTGTCGGGTAATGCAGCGTGTCACGGGGTGGGAAGAGTCCTTTCAAGATGCATTGTCTGTTCCGTAGGACTTGTGTTGAATCCTGCCTGGCCTCCTTGAGCTTGGAGCTGTGAATACTGCAGCAAAATAAATAGCAAATACGCTGTGGAGGAAATCCAGTATTAGGACCTGTTGATGATAGTGATGGTGCAAAGCTGATGAACCAGCTGTAGGAGAAGCCTTGCAGTTAAAACCTGACTGTAAAGCTGTTTGGAGCAACGGAGTCTCCTGCTACTGCTCAGTTCATGGACCTCCTCCGGGCACAAAGTGCTGCTCCCTGTGCGCATGTGTGCGTGTATGATCTCTTTCTCTGCTGTAGCTTGCCAGCATGTTGCAGCCAGTGAAGCTACTGTTGATACTGATGGGAAGAGATGTGTTTCTCAGATCGGCACGCTTGGGAGTTTGTCTGCCTGAAGCCCTTCTCTGTCGGGAAAAGCCTCCCCTTGGCACTCCAGGCTGTGTTCCCTCCATGCACATCTCCTCCTCAAAAAGCCTTGATGCTGGAGGGAGGTGGGGAGTGGAAATGACAAGGGCGACAGCTCCTTGGCTCGCCACCAGCAGCAAATTCACTCTGAATGACCTATTGTATAAGCTGCACTGTTGTTAATTATTCTCATTTAGTGGGTGGGGGAAATGGCTCTTTATTTTTCTGAAGACATCCTATCCTTTTCCAGGTAGTCTCAGTGATTCTGGAACACAGTAAAGTGAATTCTGTTTGGCTTATACCCTCCAAAGCAACCCCTAAATTTCAGGATTTCACTGTCTTGCTGTTAGGGACCATTTTCTTTTCATTTCTTGAGCAGAAAGTGTATGTCTGCAGCTGTGAAGGCAGAGCCTTCAGTACAGGAATGGTGATGTGCTGCAATCCTTGGCTGTGCCTCTGTAGGTCAGCCTCCCCCATAGCTTTCAACAAATTCCACTGGGAATGCTGGCCTCTTCCTGTTCTCCCTCTGCTGTAGTTGGGAGCCCTTTTGTTCTCTGAACTGAAGGAGCTGCTCTGTGTTGCAGGTTTCCATAGCCCCTCGAACAAACGCAGCTCTGGGATTCGCTCAGATCCTTCCAAGAGAGCAGTACCTCTTCACCAAGGAGCAGCTGCTGGAGAGGATGTGTATGGCGCTGGGGGGGAGAGTGTCCGAGGCCATCACCTTTAACAAAGTCACTACAGGTGAGGAGCCAGACGCCAGCACAGGCAGACGGAGGATGGGCTAAGAGAGCCTGAGCTTCTGCACTTGCTCTGCCCAAGGGTGATCTGAGCAACAGACAGAGGTTTTTTTTACCCTGGGAAGGAGAAACGTCCAGTTGCATGTTCTGATCTTGGGGTGTCTCATTCCTGGTTGTCACCACGTTGTCTTCAACTTATCCCAAAGCCTAAGGCCACAGATGCAATTACCGAGTGAGAGGGCCTAGAGCTTTCTGTGCCATGTTTATAGTGATAGCCAAACAGGATAACAGCGGGCAGTGGCAGGTAAGCGCTCTGCGTGAGCTAGCTACGGGTAGCTGCACTCGCTGTCGTGCATGGGTCTTGCCATATGTATAGAGAGGTCCATCAGCAGGTGGAGTGCTCACCTCCACGAGCTCCTGTGGGTCCTCTGGTCTGTCAACTAGCGGAATGCATGTTTGTTCAGGATGTGCTGCGCTTGCACTCAGCTCAGAGCTGGTAATCATTGCATCTGTCTCTCTCCTGTCCAGGAGCACAGGATGACCTGAAGAAGGTGACCAAGATAGCCTACTCCATGGTGAAGCAGTACGGGATGGTGCCCAGCATTGGGCAGCTCTCTTTCCCGGATCTGGAGAGTGCAGCTGGAATTGGTCGGCGCCCTTTCAGCCAGGGACTTCAGCAAATGATGGACCATGTAAGGCTGCCCTTGGTTACGAATTCCTGTTTGTTCTTGCATTCCTGTTTGTTCTTTCCTTCCTGCAGTTCAGTGAAAAAATGCATGTAACTTGTCCCAAACAATTTGCATTTTTCTGTTAGCTGCTAAGTAGTAAATTCCAACAGCTGAGCACTTAACCTATTACAGTGTGTAAGGACTGTGCAGTGAGGCATTAAGAACAGGCAAAATCACGTATAGCTCTGAGTTCAGGCTGATAGCGCTGTGCTGCCTGAAGCTGCAGCGAGCGGCTGTGAAATACGCTGCAATGCATAAAACTGTGAAAGCCACTGTCCTGGTTCCAGTGTGGACAAGACCCTAGCGAGCTTCAGGGAGACAGGAGGTGCAAATGTGACGTTTGGAGAGAGGGAGAAATGCTTTGCGGGAGAAGAAGGAATAATTTTGGTAGAATAGGAGTGTGGTTGTGGAACTGCAGACAGATACCCGTGAGGGAAAGATTCTGTTGCATGAAGTCTCTCCAGGCCCTCAGGAGTCCCATGTGTATCTAAGCATGGCTATGCAATGCTTTGATTGCAAGAACCCTGTGTCTTAAAGCAACAGTTGCACAATTTAAATGTCTCCACTTCCTAGATCAGAGAGGCTATCTAACCAAAATGATAGTTCAGACTGGCTGAAAAATGTTAGCCTGTTTTGACAGGAAATTTGGCTACATTATGGGGAAAAAAAAAACAAAACCACATTGCTTTAGTTAAAAGTCAAATAGCTGGAAACAAAAAAAACTCTGGTTCTGAAGCACTGTGGTTGTGCTTCCCTGGGATTTGTGCTGAGCTGCATCTCTTGCTGTTAGACAGCCTCCTTAATTAGACTGCATTTCCCATCAGCTGGGACTCTACTGAAGAGTTGTGCTAGTGCAGGAGTTGACTGTTTCTTGTCATGAATACTCACTTAGCTTTTTTCTTCCAAATGATTTCTCTGAATTTTCTGTTGATGGGAACCACTTTCTGCCTGGCTCGGTTTGCAGATTCCATCCCTCAGTGCTCTCCTTGTTTATCCACGTGTTGTGTTTGTTGCCACCTGCGCTCCAAATCTCTCTTCTTACTGTCTTCTAGGAAGCAAAAGTCCTGGTGGCTCAGGCTTACAGGCGGACAGAAAAACTCCTATTGGAGAACCGGGACAAGCTGCAAACAGTAAGTTGGAGTTGGGGGGGGGTGTTTTTTGGTTTGGTTTGGGTTTTTTTAACAGGTGTGTTTTGCCTTGCTGCTTTCTGTGCTGTGTAGCTCGGTCATTGCAGTGTTTCTGTGGTCCTAGAAAGTCTTGCAGTGGGAGTGCTGGGGCTCGTGTTGTGAACAAGTGACTCTTTACTGCATATCCCCCAGATTAGGAGCAGGCACGGGGAAGAATGTGTATCTTTACCAGCAGTGAGTAGTCTGCCTCCTGACACCAGCTGGTATTTGCAGGGTAGAGGAGTAGGAGTGCTCTGTGGAAGTGATCAAAGCTAGAACTTGTTTCCCTCACCTGTATTTCTCTGCTAGCCTCTTGGCAGCGCAGTTTCCTGGAAAGCAGACAGTGACTGTTTCTGTGAAGCCTGCAGAGGCAGGAGCAGCTCATCCTTCCAGGTCCTGTAGACGTACAGGAATCGGGTGGACAGTTTCTGCCTTTGATGAAAGAATAAGGGACCCATCACCTTGGCTGACTGGTGCTGGTTCATGCTTTCTGGTGACTCCAGGCAGTTTTCACCTGCCAGCTCCTTGGTACCTGACATACCAAGGAGTCCTTGTTGCAGAGTAGAGCTTTGCCTCCTCCCCTCTGTGTCCCCATCGCTCTGGGCTGAGCCATGCTTGGGTTGCAGCACCCTGTGCATCTGCTTGCTCTTTCCTTCAGAAGTTTGGTCCATAACATCCAAAATGACCAGGAGTCAACTTAGTGTTGCATGTTTTGCAAATAACACAATCCTTTTCCTTAAATCTTTTTTTTTTTTTTTAACAACAACAAAAACCCCTTCTGCTACGTAACTGCACAGTAAGGTAGCCAGAGCTTGCTTGCTCGGACACCCTGCTGTTGGCCGTATCACAGCCCTGTCCCCGGGACAGTGCCCTGGGAGTGCTCTGAAGGCAGGGGTGTTGTTAGGGGTCTCCTCTCTGCAGGCCTCCTCTGTTCTGATCCTTTCATTTAACAGCAGTCAGATGTTTGCTAGAGGCTCATCACAGAAGAACTTTTAAGTTAAGCCAAAGTATCTACAGAGTAAATGTTTTGGTTGCCAGGCCAGTGCGTTGCATCTTGTCAGCAGGATTGAGCTGTTCAATGTTTGACAGCCACCCACTGCTCCAGTGTGGTCCTTCTGCTGGCAGAGGGGCCGGAGAATTCAGCTTTGCTGGAGAGGCAGTTCTGGTGACCTTCAGCCCACGCCTGCAGGAACAGGCGGCTCATTGTTACCCCTGTGTGTACAGGGGAGGGGTGCGGGTCTGGCTCTGGTCTCGTTTGCTGCTACTCTGGCAGCTTAGGCAGGACCACAGGTACAGTGGCAGGAAGGGCACTTCTCTAATTGTTCCTGGAGTTCGGACTCAACAAATCGTTCCCTAGAGCTTGCTTTATTCCCTCCAGTCATACTATGTATTCCTGGCCAAAAACACTCTTGTGAAAGGTGCCGGCAGCCTGGAGAACTTTGCGCTGGCTGCAGCGGGCTTTGGGTCACCCCATCTGAGGTGCGGTGAGGCAGGGTCTGCTCCTCCTGGGCTGCAACCACGTGCTGCGTCCATATGCTGAGCTGGCAGGGAGAGTTCAGATCAGTTCAGAGAGGCTGTTTTCAAACCCCTGTGCCTCATTATGCCTTATTTACTCTTTCTAGCTGTCTAATGCCCTCCTGGAGAAAGAAGTGATAAATTATGATGACATTGAAGCTTTGATTGGGCCTCCACCCTACGGGCCAAAGAAAATGATAGCTCCTCAGAGCTGGCTTCAAGCAGAGAGAGACAAGCAAGACACAAGAGATGAAGAAATGCCCCAGCAGCCACCAAACCATGAGGAGGAGGAAGAACCACGCCTGAGACCAGTCTGAAGCCCGCTCCTGATGCAGAACAGGACAACTCTAGGGCCTTCTTTTGGACACAGATCCTTTCCCTTTTCAGCTCCAGAATCAAAGATACTGAGCAGGGACTCTCTGTGCTGCCATTACCCCAAAATCAAGGGATGGCTACGATGACTCTTTTAATGAGCTTTTCCCTGCAGGAAGGAGAACTCCTTAGGATTTTGAAATTGATTCTCAGCAGGGTAGTAGTGATTAGGAGCTGGGTAAGTCTGATCTGCAGGAAAGATTTCTTGTACACAGGAGCAGCGTACATGTTCTTAAGGGTGACAGATCCTGTGGAGTCCTTGTAAGCCACCTCTCGCTATGCTGTGTGACGCCGCAGGAGTGCGGGGCTGTCCCCTTCAGTGCCAGAGAACGGTCAGTGCAGTGAAACCCCTGCAAGGCTGAGCTGCCACAGTTCTTTTGTGACTCCACCGTAACCTTTGATCATCTCTGCTGCTGAGCGTGAAATAGAAACTGAAAAACAGGCTTCCCTAGAATAAAATGTGTGATGTTGGAAACTAGCG